GTTGTTTCGAGAGAAAAAGAATTTTTGGAAAATTTTAAGATTTTTGAAGATTTTTTACAGGTCCGGGGTCACAGATTTTTTCAAAAAATGACTAAGTTCTTTTTCTCCTTATATGACCTAAATATTCATCCAAAACACTCCGAATGATGTTTCTAGCGTATTTTCAGGCATCGATGGTTGTTTCGAGAAAAAAACTTTAATAACAAATTTTCAGATATTTTTACTTTTTACCGGTCAATGGTCCAGATTTTTGAAAGATCACTCGGTGTTTCATTTGCAATACATGCCGTGCAACTTTTCAAGATAACTTTTTTCCTGTTTTAATATATCATGAGCCGTTAGGTTGTTTGGAGTGAAAAATTTTGTTTTTTTCATGCCTATTTCTCAATCTTTTTTGCAGCAATAATGCATCGTTTTTTAATCTTTACAAATATTTTTCAGATGTCAGTTGGATGCTGACAGACTTTATTCACAATGACTTCAGAAAGGTATTTCACTTTCTTTTATTCATTTCCATCCATATTCTTTATTTACAAAATTTTCAGATTTTTGAAGATTTTTTACAGGTCCGGGGTCACAGATTTTTTCAAAAAAATGCCTATGTTCTTTTTTTCCTGATACGGCCGTTATATTTAATCCAAAACTCTCCGAATGGTGTTGCTAGCGTATTTTCAAGCATTTCTGGTTGTTTCGAGAGAAAAAGAATTTTTGGAAAATTTTTAGATTTTTGAAGATTTTTTACAGGTCCGGGGTCACAGATTTTTTCAAAAAATGACTAAGTTCTTTTTCTCCCAATATGGCCTAGAAATTCATCCAAAACACTCCGAATGGTGTTTCTAGCGTATTTCCAGGCATTTCTTGTTGTTTCGAGAGAAAAAAATTTATGTAAAATTTTCAGATTTTTGAAGATTTTTTACAGGTCCGGGGTCACAGATTTTTTCAAAAATGACTAAGTTCTTGTTTTCCTCATATGGCCTAGAAATTCATCGAAAACACTGCGAATGGTGTTGCTAGCGTATTTTCAAGCATTTTTGGTTGTTTCGAGAGAAAAAAAGTTTTTGCAAAATTTTAAGATTTTGAAGATTTTTTACAGGTCCGGAGTCACAGATTTTTTCAAAAAATCCCTAAGTTCTTTTTTCCTGATACGGCCTAGAAATTAATCCAAAACTCTCCGAATGGTGTTGCTAGCGTATTTTTAAGCATTTCTGGTTGTTTCGAGAGAAAAAAAGTTTTTCCAAAATTTTAGGATTTTGAAGATTTTTTACAGGTCCGGGGACACAGATTTATTCAAAAAATCCCTAAGTTCTTTTTCTCCTGATACGGCCTAGAAATTAATCCAAAACTCTCCGAATGGTGTTTCTAGCATATATTCAAGCATTTCTGGTTGTTTAGAGAGAAAAAGAATTTTTGGAAAATTTTCAGATTTTTGAAGATTTTTTACAGGTCTGGGGTCACAGATTTTTTCAAAAAATGACTAAGTTCTTTTTCTCCCAATATGGCCTAGAAATTCATCCAAAACACCCCGAATGATGTTGCTAGCGTATTTTCAGGCATTTCTAGTTGTTTCGAGAGAAAAAAACTTTATGTAAAATTTTCAGATTTTTGAAGATCTTTTACAGGTACGGGGTCACAGAATTTTTCAAAAATGACCAAGTCCTTGTTTTCCTCATCTGGCCTAGAAATTCATCCAAAACACTCCGAATGGTGTCTTTACCGTATTTTCAGGCATTTCTAGTTGTTTAGAGAGAAAAGGAATTTTTGCAAAATTTTCAGATATTTGAAGATTTTTTACAGGTCCGGGGTCACAGATTATTTCAAAAATGACTAAGTTCTTGTTTTCCTCATAAGGCCTAGAAATTTCTAGTTGTTTCGAGAGAAAAAAAATTTTCGCAAAATTTTCAGATTTTTGAAGATTTTTTACAGCTCCGGGGTCATAGATTTTTTCAAAAAAGACTAAGTTCTTGTTTTTCTCATATGGCCGAGAAATTCATCCAAAACACCCCGAATGATGTTGCTAGCGTATTGCCAGGCATTTCTAGTTGTTTCGAGAGAAAAAAAATTGATTTAAAATTTTCAGATTTTTGAAGATTTTTTACAGGTCCGGGGTCACAGATTTTTTCAAAAATGACTAAGTTCTTGTTTTCCTCATATGGCCTAGAAATTCATCGAGAACACTCCGAATGGTGTTGCTAGCGTATTTTCAAGCATTTCTGGTTGTTTAGAGAGAAAAAGAATTTTTGGAAAATTTTCAGATTTTTGAAGATTTTTTACAGGTCTGGGGTCACAGATTTTGTCAAAAAATGACTAAGTTCTTTTTCTCCCAATATGGCCTAGAAATTCATCCAAAACACCCCGAATGATGTTGCTAGCGTATTTTCAGGCATTTCTAGTTGTTTCGAGAGAAAAAAACTTTATGTAAAATTTTCAGATTTTTGAAGATCTTTTACAGGTACGGGGTCACAGAATTTTTCAAAAATGACCAAGTCCTTGTTTTCCTCATCTGGCCTAGAAATTCATCCAAAACACTCCGAATGGTGTCTTTACCGTATTTTCAGGCATTTCTAGTTGTTTCGAGAGAAAAAGAGTTTTTGCAAAATTTTCAGATATTTGAAGAGTTTTTACAGGTCCGGGGTCACAGAATTTTTCAAAAATGACTAAGTTCTTTTTTTTACTCATATGGCCTAGAAATTCATCGAAAACGCTCCAAATGGTGTTTCTACCGTACTTTCAAGCATTTCTGGTTGTTTCGAGAGAAAAAAAAAGTTTTCAAAATTTTAAGATTTTGAAGATTTTTTACAGGTCGGGGGTAAGATTTTTCCAAATATTGACTTAGTTCTTGTTTTCCTCATATGGCCTAGAAATTCATCCAAAACTCTACGAATGGTGTTGCTAGCGTAATTGCAAGCATTTCTGGTTGTTTCGAGAGAAAAACAAATTTTTGCGAAATTTTCACATTTTTGAAAATTTTTTACAGGTCCGGGGTCACAGATTATTTCAAAAATGACTAAGTTCTTGTTTTCCTCATATGGCCTAGAAATTTATCCCAAACACTCCGAATGGTGTTTCTGGCGTATTTTCAGGCATTTCTAGTTGTTTCGAGAGAAAAAAAAAGTTTTCAAAATTTCAAGATTTTGAAGATTTTTTACAGGTCGTGGGTAAGATTTTTTCAATAATTGACTAAGTTCTTGTTTTTCTCATATGGCCGAGAAATTCATCCAAAACACCCCGAATGATGTTGCTAGCGTATTGCCAGGCATTTCTAGTTGTTTCGAGAGAAAAAAAATTGATTTAAAATTTTCAGATTTTTGAAGATTTTTTACAGGTCCGGGGTCACAGATTTTTTCAAAAATGACAAAGTTCTTGTTTTCCTCATATGGCCTAGAAATTCATCGAGAACACTCCGAATGGTGTTGCTAGCGTATTTTCAAGCATTTCTGGTTGTTTAGAGAGAAAAAGAATTTTTGGAAAATTTTCAGATTTTTGAAGATTTTTTACAGGTCTGGGGTCACAGATTTTGTCAAAAAATGACTAAGTTCTTTTTCTCCCAATATGGCCTAGAAATTCATCCAAAACACCCCGAATGATGTTGCTAGCGTATTTTCAGGCATTTCTAGTTGTTTCGAGAGAAAAAAACTTTATGTAAAATTTTCAGATTTTTGAAGATCTTTTACAGGTACGGGGTCACAGAATTTTTCAAAAATGACCAAGTCCTTGTTTTCCTCATCTGGCCTAGAAATTCATCCAAAACACTCCGAATGGTGTCTTTACCGTATTTTCAGGCATTTCTAGTTGTTTCGAGAGAAAAAGAGTTTTTGCAAAATTTTCAGATATTTGAAGAGTTTTTACAGGTCCGGGGTCACAGAATTTTTCAAAAATGACTAAGTTCTTTTTTTTACTCATATGGCCTAGAAATTCATCGAAAACGCTCCAAATGGTGTTTCTACCGTACTTTCAAGCATTTCTGGTTGTTTCGAGAGAAAAAAAAAGTTTTCAAAATTTTAAGATTTTGAAGATTTTTTACAGGTCGGGGGTAAGATTTTTCCAAATATTGACTTAGTTCTTGTTTTCCTCATATGGCCTAGAAATTCATCCAAAACTCTACGAATGGTGTTGCTAGCGTAATTGCAAGCATTTCTGGTTGTTTCGAGAGAAAAACAAATTTTTGCGAAATTTTCACATTTTTGAAAATTTTTTACAGGTCCGGGGTCACAGATTATTTCAAAAATGACTAAGTTCTTGTTTTCCTCATATGGCCTAGAAATTTATCCCAAACACTCCGAATGGTGTTTCTGGCGTATTTTCAGGCATTTCTAGTTGTTTCGAGAGAAAAAAAAAGTTTTCAAAATTTCAAGATTTTGAAGATTTTTTACAGGTCGTGGGTAAGATTTTTTCAATAATTGACTAAGTTCTTTTTTTCCTCATATGGCCTAGAAATTCATCCAAAACTCTCCGAATGGTGTTGCTAACGTATTTGCAAGCATTTCTGGTTTTTTTGAGAGAAAAAAAAATTTTTGTGAAATTTTCAGACTTTTGAAGATTTTTTACAGGTCCGGGGTAACAGAATTTTTCAAAAATGACCAAGTCCTTGTTTTCCTCATCTGGCCTAGAAATTCATCCAAAACACTCCGAATGGTGTCTTTACCGTATTTTCAGGCATTTCTGGTTGTTTTGAGAAAAAAACTTTGAGAAATTTTCAAATATTTTTACTTTTTCCCGGTCAATGGTCCAGATTTTTGAAAGGTCACTCGGTGCTTCATTTGCAATACATGCCCTGCAACTTTTCAAGATAACTTTTTTTCCTGTTTCAATATATCATGAGCCGTTAGGTTGTTTGAGTAGAAAATTTTGATTTTTTCATGCCTATTTCTCAATCTCTTTTGCAGCAAAAATGCATCGTTTTTTAATCTTTATAAATTTTTTTCAGATGTCACTTGGATGCTCACAGATTTGTTACACAATGACTTCAGAAAGGTATTTGTCTTTCTTTTATTTATTTTCATCCATATTCTTTATTTGCAAAATTTTCAGATTTTTGAAGATTTTTTACAGGTCCGGGGTCACAGATTTTTTCAAAAATGAATAAGTTCTTGTTTTCCTCCTATGGCCTAGAAATTCACCCCAAACACTGCGAATGGTGTTTCTAGCGTATTTTCAGGCATTTCTAATTGTTTCGAGAGAAAAAGAATTTTTGCAAAATTTTCAGATATTTGAAGATTTTTTACAGGTCCGGGGTCACAGAATTTTTCAAAAATGACTAAGTTCTTTTTTTCCTCATATGGCCTAGAAATTCATTTAAAACGCTCCAAATGGTGTTTCTACCGTCTTTTCAAGCATTTCTGGTTGTTTCGAAAGAAAGAAAACTTTTCACAATTCTAAGATTTTGAAGATTTTTTACAGGACCGGGGTCAGATTTTTTCAAAAATTGACTAAGTTCCTTTTTTCCTCTTATGGCCTAGAAAGTCATCGAAAACTCTCCAAATGGTGTTTCTACCGTACTTTCAAGCATTTCTGGTTGTTTCGAGTGAAAAAAAAAGTTTTCAAAATTTTAAGATTTTGAAGATTTTTTACAGGTCCGGGGTAAGATTTTTCCAAATATTGACTTAGTTCTTGTTTTCCTCATATGGCCTAGATATTCATCCAAAACTCTACGAATGGTGTTGCTAGCGTATTTGCAAGCATTTCTGGTTGTTTCGAGAGAAAAAAATTTTTTGCAAAATTTTCAGATTTTTGAAGATTTTTTACAGGTCCGGGGTCACAGAATTTTTTAAAAATGACTAAGTTTTTGTTCTACTCATATGGCCTAGAAATTCATCGAAAATGCTCCAAATGGTGTTTCTACCGTACTTTCAAGCATTTCTGGTTGTTTCGAGAGAAAAAAAAAGTTTTGAAAATTTTAAGATTTTCAAGATTTTTTACAGGTCGGGGGTAAGATTTTTTCAAATGTTGACTTAGTTCTTGTTTTCTTCATATGGCCTAGAAATTCATCCAAAACTCTCCGAATGATGTTGCTAACGTATTTGCAAGCATTTTTGGTTGTTTCGAGGGAAAAAAAATTTTTTGCGAAATTTTCACATTTTTGAAGATTTTTACAGGTCCGGGGTCACAGATTTTTTCAAAAATGACTAAGTTCTTGTTTTCCTCATATGGCCTAAAAATTCATCCAAATCACCCCGAATGATGTTGCTAGCGTATTTTCAGGCATTTCTAGTTGTTTGGAGAGAAAAAAACTTTATGTAAAATTTTCAGATTTTTGAAGATCTTTTACAGGTACGGGGTCACAGAATTTTTCAAAAATGACCAAGTCCTTGTTTTCCTCATCTGGCCTAGAAATTCATCCAAAACACTCCGAATGGTGTCTTTACCGTATTTTCAGGCATTTCTGGTTGTTTTGAGAAAAAAACTTTGAGAAATTTTCAAATATTTTTACTTTTTCCCGGTCAATGGTCCAGATTTTTGAAAGGTCACTCGGTGCTTCATTTGCAATACATGCCCTGCAACTTTTCAAGATAACTTTTTTTCCTGTTTCAATATATCATGAGCCGTTAGGTTGTTTGAGTAAAAAATTTTGATTTTTTCATGCCTATTTCTCAATCTCTTTTGCAGCAAAAATGCATCGTTTTTTAATCTTTATAAATTTTTTTCAGATGTCACTTGGATGCTCACAGATTTGTTACACAATGACTTCAGAAAGGTATTTGTCTTTCTTTTATTTATTTTCATCCATATTCTTTATTTGCAAAATTTTCAGATTTTTGAAGATTTTTTACAGGTCCAGGGTCACAGATTTTTTCAAAAATGACTAAGTTCTTGTTTTCCTCCTATGGCCTAGAAATTCACCCCAAACACTGCGAATGGTGTTTCTAGCGTATTTTCAGGCATTTCTAATTGTTTCGAGAGAAAAAGAATTTTTGCAAAATTTTCAGATATTTGAAGATTTTTTACAGGTCCGGGGTCACAGAATTTTTCAAAAATGACTAAGTTCTTTTTTTCCTCATATGGCCTAGAAATTCATTTAAAACGCTCCAAATGGTGTTTCTACCGTCTTTTCAAGCATTTCTGGTTGTTTCGAAAGAAAAAAAACTTTTCACAATTCTAAGATTTTGAAGATTTTTTACAGGTCCGGGGTCACAGATTATTTCAAAAATAACTAAGTTCTTGTTTTCCTCATAAGGCCTAGAAATTTATCCCAAACACTCCGAATGGTGTTTCTGGCGTATTTTCAGGCATTTCTAGTTGTTTCGAGAGAAAAAGAATTTTTGCAAAATTTTCAGATTTTTGATGATTTTTTACATGTCCGGAGTCATAGATTTTTTCAAAAATGACTAAGTTCTTGTTTTTCTCATATGACCTAGAAATTCATACAAAACACTCGGAATGATGTTGCTAGCGTATTTTCAGGCATTTCTAGTTGTTTCGAGAGAAAAAGAATTTATGTAAAATTTTCAGATTTTTGAAGATTTTTTACAGGTCCGGGGTCACAGATTTTTTCAAAAATGACTAAGTTCTTTTTTTCCTAATATGGCCTAGAAATTCATCCAAAACACTCCGAATGGTGTTGCTAGAGTATTTGCAAGCATTTCTGGTTGTTTCGAGAGAAAAAAAATTTCTGCAAAATTTTCAGATTTTTGAAGATTTTTTACAGGTCCGGGGTCACAGAATTTTTTAAAAATGACTAAGTTTTTGTTCTACTCATATGGCCTAGAAATTCATCGAAAATGCTCCAAATGGTGTTTCTACCGTACTTTCAAGCATTTCTGGTTGTTTCGAGAGAAAAAAAAAGTTTTGAAAATTTTAAGATTTTCAAGATTTTTTACAGGTCGGGGGTAAGATTTTTTCAAATGTTGACTTAGTTCTTGTTTTCCTCATATGGCCTAGAAATTCGTCCAAAACTCTCCGAATGGTGTTGCTAACGTATTTGCAAGCATTTTTGGTTGTTTCGAGGGAAAAAAAAATTTTTGCGAAATTTTCACATTTTTGAAGATTTTTACAGGTCCGGGGTCACAGATTTTTTCAAAAATGACTAAGTTCTTGTTTTCCGCATATGGCCTAAAAATTCATCCAAATCACCCCGAATGATGTTGCTAGCGTATTTTCAGGCATTTCTAGTTGTTTCGAGAGAAAAAAACTTTATGTAAAATTTTCAGATTTTTGAAGATCTTTTACAGGTACGGGGTCACAGAATTTTTCAAAAATGACCAAGTCCTTGTTTTCCTCATCTGGCCTAGAAATTCATCCAAAACACTCCGAATGGTGTCTTTACCGTATTTTCAGGCATTTCTGGTTGTTTTGAGAAAAAAACTTTGAGAAATTTTCAAATATTTTTACTTTTTCCCGGTCAATGGTCCAGATTTTTGAAAGGTCACTCGGTGCTTCATTTGCAATACATGCCCTGCAACTTTTCAAGATAACTTTTTTTCCTGTTTCAATATATCATGAGCCGTTAGGTTGTTTGAGTAAAAAATTTTGATTTTTTCATGCCTATTTCTCAATCTCTTTTGCAGCAAAAATGCATCGTTTTTTAATCTTTATAAATTTTTTTCAGATGTCACTTGGATGCTCACAGATTTGTTACACAATGACTTCAGAAAGGTATTTGTCTTTCTTTTATTTATTTTCATCCATATTCTTTATTTGCAAAATTTTCAGATTTTTGAAGATTTTTTACAGGTCCGGGGTCACAGATTTTTTCAAAAATGAATAAGTTCTTGTTTTCCTCCTATGGCCTAGAAATTCACCCCAAACACTGCGAATGGTGTTTCTAGCGTATTTTCAGGCATTTCTAATTGTTTCGAGAGAAAAAGAATTTTTGCAAAATTTTCAGATATTTGAAGATTTTTTACAGGTCCGGGGTCACAGATTTTTTCAAAAATGACTAAGTTCTTGTTTTCCTCATATGGCCTAGAAATTCATCCAAAACTCTCCGAATGGTGTTGCTAGCGTATTTGCAAGCATTTCTGGTTTTTTTGAGAGAAAACAAAATTTTTGCGAAATTTTCAGATTTTTGAAGATTTTTTACAGGTCCGGGGTCACAGATTTTTCAAAAATGACTAAGTTCTTGTTTTCCTCATAATGGCCTAGAAATTCATCAAAACACTCCGAATGGTGTTTCTAGCGTATTTCAGGCATTTCTAGTTGTTTCGAGAGAAAAAGAATTTTTGCAAAATTTTCAGATTTTTGATGATTTTTTACAGGTCCGGAGTCATAGATTTTTTCAAAAATGACTAAGTTCTTTTTTTTCTCATATGGCCTAGAAATTCATCCAAAACACTCCGAATGGTGTTGCTAGCGTATTTCAAGCATTTCTGGTTGTTTCGAGAGAAAAAGAATTTTTGCAAAATTTTCAGATTTTTGAAGATTTTTACAGGTCCGGGGTCACAGATTTTTTCAAAAATTGACTAAGTTCTTTTTTTCCTCAATATGGCCTAGAAAATCATCCAAAACACTCCGAATGGTGTTGCTAGCGTATTTGCAAGCATTTCTGGTTGTTTCGAGAGAAAAAAAATTTTGCAAAATTTTCAGATTTTTGAAGATTTTTTACAGGTCCGGGGTCACAGAATTTTTCAAAAATGACTAAGTTCTTTTTTTCCTCATATGGCCTAGAAATTCATCGAAAACGCTCCAAATGGTGTTTCTACCGTACTTTCAAGCATTTCTGGTTGTTTCGAGAGAAAAAAAGTTTTCACAATTCTAAGATTTTGAAGATTTTTTACAGGACCGGGGTCAGATTTTTTCAAAAATTGACTAAGTTCTTTTTTTCCTCATATGGCCTAGAAATTCATCCAAAACACTCCGAATGGTGTTGCTAGCGTATTTTCAAGCATTTCTGGTTGTTTCGAGAGAAAAAAAATTTTTGCAATTTTAAGGTTTTGAAGATTTTTTACAGGTCCGGGGTCACAGATTTTTTCAAAAATGACTAAGTTCTTTTTTTCCTCATATGGCCTAGAAATTCATCAAAACATTCCAAATGGTGTTTCTACCGTATTTTCAAGCATTTTTGGTTGTTTCGAGAGAAAAAAAACTTTTCACAATTTTAAGGTTTTGAAGATTTTTTACAGGACCGGGGTCAGATTTTTGTAAAAAGTGACTAAGTTCTTTTTTTCCTCATACGGCCTAGAAATTCATCAAAAACTCTTCGAACGGTGTTGCTAGCGTATTTGCAAACATTTCTGATTGTTTCAAGAGAAAAAGATTTTTGCAAAATTTTCAGATTTTTGAAGAGTTTTTACAGGTCCAGGATCACAGAATTTTTCAAAAATGACTAAGTTCTTGTTTTCCTCATATGGCCTAGAGATTCATCCAAAACTCTCCGAATGGTGTTTCTACCGTCTTTTCAAGCATTTCTGGTTGTTTCGAAAGAAAAAAAACTTTTCACAATTCTAAGATTTTGAAGATTTTTTACAGGTCCGGGGTCACAGATTATTTCAAAAATAACTAAGTTCTTGTTTTCCTCATAAGGCCTAGAAATTTATCCCAAACACTCCGAATGGTGTTTCTGGCGTATTTTCAGGCATTTCTAGTTGTTTCGAGAGAAAAAGAATTTTTGCAAAATTTTCAGATTTTTGATGATTTTTTACATGTCCGGAGTCATAGATTTTTTCAAAAATGACTAAGTTCTTGTTTTTCTCATATGACCTAGAAATTCATTTAAAACGCTCCAAATGGTGTTTCTACCGTCTTTTCAAGCATTTCTGGTTGTTTCGAAAGAAAAAAAACTTTTCACAATTCTAAGATTTTGAAGATTTTTTACAGGTCCGGGGTCACAGATTATTTCAAAAATAACTAAGTTCTTGTTTTCCTCATAAGGCCTAGAAATTTATCCCAAACACTCGGAATGATGTTGCTAGCGTATTTTCAGGCATTTCTAGTTGTTTCGAGAGAAAAAGAATTTATGTAAAATTTTCAGATTTTTGAAGATTTTTTACAGGTCCGGGGTCACAGATTTTTTCAAAAATGACTAAGTTCTTTTTTTCCTAATATGGCCTAGAAATTCATCCAAAACACTCCGAATGGTGTTGCTAGAGTATTTGCAAGCATTTCTGGTTGTTTCGAGAGAAAAAAAATTTTTGCAAAATTTTCAGATTTTTGAAGATTTTTTACAGGTCCGTGGTCACAGAATTTTTCAAAAATGACTGAGTTTTTGTTTTACTCATATGGCCTAGAAATTCATCGAAAACGCTCCAAATGGTGTTTCTACCGTCTTTTCAAGCATTTCTGGTTGTTTCGAGAGAAAAAAAACTTTTCACAATTCTACGATTTTTAATATTTTTTACAGGACCGGGGTCAGATTTTTTAAAAAATGACTATGTTCTTGTTTTCCTCATATGGACTAGAAATTCATCGAAAACGCTCCAAATGGTGTTTCTACCGTAATTTCAAGCATTTTTGGTTGTTTCGAGAAAAAAACTTTGAGAAATTTTCAAATATTTTTACTTTTTCCCGGTCAATGGTGCAGATTTTTGAAAGATCACTCGGTGTTTCATTTGCAATACATGCCCTGCAACTTTTCAAGATAACTTTTTTTCCTGTTTTAATATATCATGAGCCGTTAGGTTGTTTGGAGTAAAAAATTTTGATTTTTTCATGCCTATTTCTCAATCTCTTTTGCAGCAAATATGCATCGTTTTTTAATCTTTACAAATATTTTTCAGATGTCACTTGGATGCTGACAGACTTGATTCACAATGACTTCAGAAAGGTATTTGACTTTCTTTTATTTATTTCCATCCATATTTTTTATCTACAAAATTCTCAGATTTTTGAAGATTTTTTACAGGTCTAGGGTCACAGATTTTTTCAAAAATGACCAAGTTCTTGTTTTCCTCCTATGGCCTAGAAATTCACCCCAAACACTCCGAATGGTGTTTCTAGAGTATTCTCAGGCATTTCTAGTTGTTTTGAGAGAAAAAGAATTTTTGCAAAATTTTCAGATTTTTGATGATTTTTTACAGGTCCGGAGTCATAGATATTTTCAAAAATGACCAAGTTCTTGTTTTTCTCATATGACCTAGAAATTCATACAAAACACTCGGAATGATGTTGCTAGCGTATTCTCAGGCATTTCTAGTTGTTTCGAGAGAAAAAAATTTATGTAAAATTTTCAGATTTTTGAAGATTATTTAGAGGTCCGGGGTCACAGATTTTTCAAAAATGACTAAGTTCTTTTATTCCTATTATGGCCTAGAAATTCATCCAAAACACTCCGAATGTTGTTGCTAGCGTATTTGCAAGCATTTCTGTTTGTTTCGAGAGAAAATAAATTGTTGCAAAATTTTCAGATTTTTGAAGATTTTTTACAGGTCCGGGGTCACATAATTTTTCAAAAATGACAAAGTTTTTGTTTTACTCATATGGCCTAGAACTTCATCGAAAACGCTCCAAATGGTGTTTCTACCGTCTTCTCAAGCATTTCTGGTTGTTTCGAGAGAAAAAAAACTTTTCACAATTCTAAGATTTTGAAGATTTTTTACAGGACCGGGGTCAGATTTTTTCAAAAATGACTAAGTTCTTGTTTTCCTCATATGGCCTAGAAATTCATCCAAAACACTCCGAATGGTGTTGCTAGCGTATTTGCAAGCATTTCTGGTTGTTTCGAGAGAAAAAAAATTTATGCAAAATTTTCAGATTTTTTACAGGTCCGGGGTCACAGAATTTTTCAAAAATGACTAAGTTTTTGTTTTACTCATATGGCCAAGAAATTCACTCAAAACACCCGGAATGGTGTTTCTAGCATCTTCTCAGGCATTTCTAGTTGTTTCGAGAGAAAAAGGAATTTTTGCAAAATTTTCAGATTTTTGATGATTTTTTACAGGTCCGGAGTCATAGATTTTTTCAAAAATGACTAAATTCTTGTTTTTCTCATATGTACTAGAAATTCATACAAAACACTCGGAATGATGTTGCTAGCGTATTTTCAGGCATTTCTAGTTGTTTCGAGAGAAAAAAAATTTATGTAAAATTTTCAGATTTTTGAAGATTTTTTACAGGACCATGGTCACAGAATTTTTCAAAAATGACTAAGTTTTTGTTTTACTCATATGGCCTAGAAATTCATCGAAAACGCTGCAAATGGTGTTTCTACCGTCTTTTCAAGCATTTCTGGTTGTTTCGAGAGAAAAAAAACTTTTCACAATTCTAAGATTTTGAAGATTTTTTACAGGACCGGGGTCAGATTTTTTCAAAGATTGACTAAGTTCTTTTTTCCTCATATGGCCTAGAAATTCATCGAAAACGCTCCAAATGGTGTCTCTACCGTACTTTCAAGCATATCTGGTTGTTTCGAGAGAGAAAAAAAGTTTTCAAAATTTTAAGATTTTGAAGATTTTTTACAGGTCCGGGGTAAGATTTTTTCAAATATTGACTTAGTTCTTGTTTTCCTCATATGGCCTAGAAATTTATCCAAAACTCTCTGAATGGTGTTGCTAGCGTATTTGCAAGCATTTCTGGTTGTTTCGAGAGAAAAAAAATTTTTTGCGAAATTTTCACCTTTTTGAAGATTTTTTACAGGTCCGGGGTCACAGATTTTTTCAAAAATGACTAAGTTCTTGTTTTCCTCATATGGCCTAGAAATTCATCCAAAACTCTCCGAATGGTGTTGCTAGCGTATTTGCAAGCATTTCTGGTTTTTTTGAGAGAAAACAAAATTTTTGCGAAATTTTCAGATTTTTGAAGATTTTTTACAGGTCCGGGGTAACAGAAATTTTCAAAAATGACTAAGTTCGTGTTTTCCTCATATGGCCTAGAGATTCATCCAAAACACTCCGAATGGTGTTGCTAGCGTATATTCAAGCATTTCTGGTTGTGTCGAGAGAAAACTTTTTTCCCAAAATATTAAGATTTTGAAGATTTTTTACAGGACCGGGGTCAGATTTTTTCAAAAATTGACTAAGTTCTTTTTTTCCTCATATGCCCTAGAAAATCATCCAAAACCTCTCCGAATGGTGTTGCTAGCGTATTTGCAAGCATTTCTGGTTGTTTCGAGAGAAAAAAAAGTTTTGCAAAGTTTTCAGATTTTTGAGGATTTTTTACAGGTCCGAGGTCACAGAATTTTTCAAAAATGACTAAGTTCTTTTTTTCCTCATATGGCCTAGAAATTCATCGAAAACGCTCCAAATGGTGTTTCTACCGTACTTTCAAGCATTTCTGGTTGTTTCGAGAGAAAAAAAAAGTTTTCACAATTCTAAGATTTTGAAGATTTTTTACAGGACCGGGGTCAGATTTTTTCAAAAATTGACTAAGTTCTTTTTTTCCTCATATGGCCCGGAAATTCATCGAAAACATTCCAAATGGTGTTTCTACCGTATTTTCAAGCATTTCTGGTTGTTTCGAGAGAAAAAAAACTTTTCACAATTTTAAGGTTTTGAAGATTTTTTACAGGACCGGGGTCAGATTTTTGTAAAAAGTGACTAAGTTCTTTTTTTCCTCATACGGCCTAGAAATTCATCAAAAACTCTTCGAACGGTGTTGCTAGCGTATTTGCAAACATTTCTGATTGTTTCAAGAGAAAAAGATTTTTGCAAAATTTTCAGATTTTTGAAGAGTTTTTACAGGTCCAGGATCACAGAATTTTTCAAAAATGACTAAGTTCTTGTTTTCCTCATATGGCCTAGAGATTCATCCAAAACTCTCCGCCGAATGGTATTGCTAGCGTATTTTCAAACATTTCTGGTTGTTTCGAGAGTAAAAAGTTTTTGGAAAATTTTCAGATTTTTGAAGATTTTTTACAGGTCCAGGGTCACAGATTTTTTCAAAATTGACTAAGCTCTTGTTTTCTTCAGATGGCCTAGAAATTCATCCCAAGCACTCCGAATGCTGTTTCTAGCGTATTTTCAGGCATTTCCAGTTGTTTCGAGAGAAAAAAAACTTTTGCAAAATTTTCAGATTTTTGAGGATTTTTTACAAGTCCGAGGTCACAGAATTTTTCAAAAACGACTAAGTTCTTTTTTTCCTCATATGGCCTAGAAATTCATCAAAACTCTCCGAATGGTGTTGCTAGCGTATTTTCAAGCATATTTTGTTGTTTCAAGAGAAAAAAAATTTTTGCAAATTTTTTAGATTTTTGAAGATTTTTTACAGGTCACAGATTTTTTCATCGAAACAATCGGAATGGTGTTTCTAGCGTATTTTCATGCATTTCGAGTTGTTTGGGAAAAGAAGATGTTTGTAAAATTTTCAGAATTTTAAAGTTTTTTTATTGATCCGTCTCAGGTGACAGATTTTTTGAAAAATGATGCTGTTGTTCTCTTGCAAGATACGCCCTCTAAACTTCTCAAGAACACTTTCTCTTAAGAACAAGTTTCTGGACTTTGGCTCGCTTTTGATACTTTTTCTTATTGCTAATTTTTGCTGATTTTCTTCAAAGGTTTATTTTTTTCACTGTTTCTGATACCTTCAATTCAAAGAGAAACACGTCGTGATGGAATTCTCGCAGTTAAATGGACGTTTTTTTCTAGAATATAGTTGAGCGTGTGCTGGCCATGGAGGGTTGCTGCAGAAGGGCCGTGGAGTCCTTCAGATAAGTCCTTATTTTCAAAGAATGGTGTTTTGAATTGGAAACACCGGGCAATGAAGTGGAGACTACCTTCGCTTGCCAGTTTTGCCTCAGGGCCTTAATGACTCTTTGGACCTTTTGCTTTTAGTCACTTTTAAATTTTAAGAAATTTTTATCTTTGCGTGTTTACTTTTTAAGAAGGGGGATGGTGAAACTGTTAAGGATTCGGGATTTTAAGTTATTTTAATTAGTTCGATTCTTTCATTGATTCTGTTTGTAACTCCTTTTCCGGGAAATGTGCGTCACTGTCATCGTGTTGTGATTTTTCAGTGTTCCTTTGTTATTGTTTTAATATCATGTAATCCGAGTTAGAATAATTTAGTCTTACTGTTTTGATAATAGAGGTAGCATCAACGAAGAGGTATCTCTTGTGTGCTATCTGTTCGGGTCTTAGGCCCATTGGGCTAGCCCATTGTTTCGTCATAACAAGAACCCGTACACGCTACAAATTGGTGATAGAGGCTACGAACCCGTACACGCTATTTAAATTTAATTTTTTAGTTTTTAGGGTGGGCGTTAATTAGGAAGTGGACGTTGATCCAATAATTCCCGAAAACAAATTAGTGTACCTTATCCTCTGAATTTCTTCCAAAAATCTCAGAAAAATTATCCACCGGAGAAAATAGAACAACCTCAAAACAACCAAACAACAATTTATCAAACACTGTCATAACAAAACAAATGAATAACAAATAAGTCTCACGATGGTAGTACTAGTCTATACAAAGTTCTTCATCACTTTCACGGTCAGAGTCGATCAAATTTTGTGGATCATTGGCATCTTCCACGTCAGAATCCGTGACGTTCGCAAATTGATTTGTAGTACCGTTAAATGGAGCGTTAACGTACAGGGGCGTTAAATAGAAATGGAGCGTTATCAAGAAAGTGGGCTTTAGTTAACATTTTTTACTTTTAGGGTGGGCGTTAGTTAGGAAGGGGCCTTAAAAAGGAAGGGGGCGTTAAATAGATCAAATACGGTATTCGCCGTCCTAAGAAGAACCCTATCGTTACACCTTCAAGACTTTGTTTGACATCTTGGTCCCTTACTTTCAAATACGTTTCGCCGACTCTGCAGTAGCAACAAGACAGGTTTCTAGTCGCCACATGATTGGGCTTCAGCTGTCACATGTAGATTTTAAGCGATTATGTGCTTAAACATTAGCGATGACGCGTTCATGTTTTATTGTTCATATGACTATCCTAAAGTGCTGTACATACCTTTCTTTGGGTTAATTGATTTAGAAGTGCTTAAATTTTTGTTTCATGTAGCTTACGTATTTCATCACTAAGTTACACATAGTTGCAGATATCATTTGAAACAGCTAAACTGCATGCATGGAATAGTATCAGGGCCGCCGGACGTCGGTTAAAGAGGACACAAACATGGATTTTTTTAAAACGTTGGTTATTGCCAAAAACGGACAGCTTTCAATGTATCTCAGAAATTTAGAAGAACATCCTCACACCCTTCTCCCCTTCTCCCATACGCATTAATGCA